CCACCCTCCAGCTTTTCACAGAATTGGCCAATCCACAGGAATGGGAAGTTGTGCTTGCCTTGACTTTTTTTTTTTTTTTTTTTTTAATTTGTTGTTGTTGTTGTGAGGAAACTGAGGCATGGAGACTCTCCAGGGAGCCTGGGCCAGCTGCTGGTTCCTTGCCTACTTTGCAGCCATCAGGATGTTCTTACCATGGCTTTTGGGCTGTGACTGTTGTCCCCTGTTTTGGGTGACACCAGGGTGAATTTGGGTCAGCATGGCTTAGCTGGGGCAGCTGTGCCTCACCAGTGGGCAACCATGGAGCCATCCACCATGCCCCCCTGCTCTGGGTCCTGGTTGTCCAAACTCACGGGAGGGATGTACAGGAGATATTACAGAGGTGATGGTGCACAAAGAACACAGGTTTTGGATTTTCTCCAGCTGCTGAAGGATCTGGGGGAAGGCTGAGTGAAGAGCAAGTGCCTTGCAGGGTTGAAGGATTCACATGTTCTTTCTCCTCATAGCCTGTGGGCCACAGCTTGCCAATTCCCCCACTGTGATAGTGATGGTTGGCCTCCCAGCCCGTGGGAAGACCTACATCTCCAAGAAGCTGACGCGCTACCTCAACTGGATTGGTGTCCCTACAAAAGGTGAGGCATTCACTGGCTTCCAGGGGGAAAGCACGAGGTCTGGTCCTCAGGAGTTGCCATAGGAGCTCAGTGCCTTGGGAAGTGGCAGGTAGTGGGAGAGCTTTCCAAGATACAGTGGGCAAAATATCCATGTTTTCCCATCATTTCTGCTGCAGCATGGCTTCTCCTTCACTTCGAGACCAGGGGATGTCCCTGAGCCTTTTGCTCTAAGGATGCAATTTCGTAGCACTTTGCTTGCTTTAATTGCAGAAACTGCAAAGCTGAGTTGAGCTCCTGGTTTTGATGTTTTTTTTTGTCTTTCCCAAATAGTTTTCAACGTGGGGGAATATCGCCGTGAGGCCGTGAAGCATTACAGCTCCTACGACTTCTTCCGTCCTGACAACGAGGAGGCCATGAAAGTCAGGAAGTAAGTGTGGGCACTGCCTCCATCCTGGGACCAGTCAGGTCCCAAACAGGTGGTGAAGCCCATGGCTGGAGCCCAGTTGCCCAGTTTGTCCGGGGGTGATGAGCGGAAAAGCTGGGCTCTGCTTTCGAGTCCTCCCTGCCTGCTCCAAAGAGACCTGACTTGGGTGCCAGGAGCTCAAAAACTGAAGCTGTGTGGGCTTGGTAGCTTCAGGGGTCGTCAGCACATCCAGAGGACATCAGGACCACACATGTCCTCTTTTGCAGGCAGTGTGCCATGGCCGCCTTGAGGGATGTCAAGCTGTACCTGACGGAGGAGGCTGGGCAGATTGCGGTAAGAAAGGAGATGCACCCCGTGGGATTTTGGCATGTCCTCCCACTCCTGAATGTCCTGTGCCCTGTGCAGTTTGCTCTGCAGTTCCTTCTCTGAGGAGGGGCTCAGTGGGAAACCAAGGGCACTTGTGGTGCTAACTGAAGTCTTTGCTTTTAAAGGTTTTTGATGCCACCAATACCACGCGGGAGAGGAGAGGGATGATCCTAAACTTTGCCAAAGAAAATGGATTTAAGGTTGGTACCGTGGGGCTGGTGCCTGAATTGCATAGTCCACCTTAGTATGCTCTTGGTGTATCTTCCTTCACTAACGTGTTGTCCTCACGATGCTCCTGCGTAAGGGACATTTCACTGCTGGGTTTGATGAAAAATGTGAAACTCTTCCCTCATAACAAGTCCTGGAGAAGGAAACTATGGGAGTAGGGCAGAGCAGGGAGGAGGTTGGGTTGTGCAAGGAGCTGGTTGAGTGTTAAAAGCCTTGTTGTTGGGTTTCAGTTGAGGTTTGCTTTGCTTCACAGGTGTTCTTCATTGAATCTGTCTGCAATGATCCCACTGTGGTTGCCACCAATGTTATGGTAAGTGTGGAAGTGTCTTGCTTTTGATTTCCCTCCATAGACAGGTGGGAATGGCATCACATTCACAACCCTGTGTCCTCATGGCTTGCTGCAACCACCCTGGTATCTGCAGGAAGGACAGCACAGCATGGCACAGGCAATCCAGGAAGTTCCTGGAGTGTGTTGATGATGATTTCCTTCTCCAAGAGAGAGGAGCCAAGAAGGAGAATGTGCTGTGTTGCACTGTGCTGCAGTGACCATGAAATGAGACCTCAGGAGAGCAGACTTTGGCCTCTTCAGGAATGTGCTTGGTGGAGTACCATGGGATAAAGCTCTGGAGGGAAGAGGGGCCCAAGAAAACTGGTTAATATTTGAGGATCATCTTCGCCAAGCTCAGGTGTGACACGTTCTCAACAAAGAAGTAATCAAAAGCATCAGGAGGCCTGCAATGAGCTCCTAGACAAACACAAAAAGGAAGCCCACAGAGGATGGAAGCAAGCACAGGCAGCCTGAGAGGAAGGCAGAGATCGTTTGAGTAGCCAGGGATCAGGTTAGGAACAATAAAGCCCTGACAGAATTAAATCTGGACAGGGTTGTTGGGGGCAACAAGAAAAGCTTCTATAGATGATAAAAGGAAGACTAGGAAAGTATGAGCCCTCTCTGGAAGGAATAGGAGGCCTGGATACTGGGGATATGGAGAAGGCTGTGGCACTCAATGGCTTCTTGCCCAAGTTTTCACCAAGTGCTCCAGCCCACTGATGGAGTTGTAGGAGGCAAAGGCAAGGACTGAGAGAATGAAGAGTTACCTACAGTAGAAGATCAGGTCTGAAACCATCTAAGGAACCTGAAGGTCTACAGATCCTTGGGATCTGATGTGATGCATCTGTGGGTCCTGAGGGAACTAATGGATGAAGTGGGGAAGCCACTATCCATCATATTTGAAAAGTCACGGCCATCCAGTGAAATATTCTCCCTGACTGGAAAAGGGGGAACATGACCCTTGTTAAAAAGGGGAAAAAATGAGTCTTGGGAGGTTGCACACAGCCTTTTCCATGACACTAATAAAATGCTCAGTTTGCTGCATCTCTTTTTTTTTTTTTTTTTTTTTTTTTTTTTTTTTTTTTTTTTTTTTTTTTTTTTTTTTTTTTTTTTTTTT